CTTTTTGACTAAAGTGTAGGGATTTGGAGATGATGACATGTCATGGCTTTGATAGGTTTCTAAGTGTTGAAGATGAAGACTTGGTGAGTCCTCATAGATTCGAGGACAATACCCAATATGTTCTTTTATGTCTTTTTAGTATTGTTTAAGTTGTGTACGGGATTAGTCCCGAATTTTGTACTTTAAAGTATTAGATGGTTTTGAGACATCATGTATAAAGTCTAGAAAGTCTTCCGCTTGCTATTTTTTTTTATGCAATGTTTTCTTGGTAAAGAAAGTTTTAAATTCCTTATGGTTTTAGTGTCTATGCGATGAATGAATGCTAAGAGGCTTGTATTAGACCTCTTCGAGGTCGAGTACGTCGGTTACGACTAGGGGGTGCTCCCGGGTCGTGACACTATCTTACAGTAGTTAAAAGAAGAAACAGGCTGACTTCTGACATGAGAAGCAATATTGCCATCTGCAGGTGGACAATTGTGGCACTTTAGACAGAAAAAATACAGACCATTCTTGGCCTTACCAAGTGCCAGAGGGCTCTTCAGAGAAGGGCCCTGCAATAAACAAGAAGAGCTGTTAAAGCTAACTATTCCCTTGAGTTGAAGAGCTAAACAATGAACAAAAATCAAATTGAACATGAAGTTAGGTATAAACAAAACTTTGTACAAAGTCAGTGTAGAAGTCAGACAAACATCACCAATTTCAGTCACTTTAACCTTGTATCCATTTGGTAATGTAATGAGGAAAGGATAGGATAATGTTCTAAGGTTTGTAAGGGCATCTTTTGTGTAAGTCACGTAGTGTGATGCTTCTGAATCTATGATCCAAGAGCCAACAATTAATCTAATACATTTACATGACAAATCACATATCTCATTTATAGAAAAATAGTAAGCAAGTATACCTGCTAGGTTCACTGATCCACCTGCCATGCTTCCTGAGTAATCAGCTCCAACTTGCAGAGTTCCAAGTAGATTAAGTAGTTGCTCATACTGACTTTTGGACAGGTTCAATGGAATTTGTCTTCCCTGCTCAGAAATTTCCTCAGACTGGCTTCTATCACCTTCAGAGGCATGTACATTTGCTGCAGATCCTGAGCCTTTTCCTCTTGGAGCTTTTGTGTAACACCCCGTATTATAAACAGACCAAAAATGCAGATTTTGAGAAGTTCTAGGTGCAACCCACGGTTGCCAACCACGGACCGTAGGTCAGACCACGGCCCGTACTGGTGGTCTGTGGTTCACCACTGAAACCATTCCTAGACCCAGCTCAGAAAATTGGCTAAGTCCCGACTCACGGACAGACCCACGGTCCGTGGATCAAACCACGGTCCGTGGTCTGTGTCCGTGGATTGAGACCTCCTTTACCCATCCTCTGACACAAACTACGGTCGACCAGCACGGATCGTCATTTGATCCACAGTCCGTAGGTCTGACCATAGATGAGGGTCAGCAACCAGTTAGCTGAAAATTGTTAATGGATCAACTTCAGATGGTCATAACTTTTAGCACAAAAATAAATGTGTGTCCCATAACCTATGATATGACAGATAATTGAATTCTCTTTCCAACGCCGCTGATTTTGCTAAAATCCGACCTCCGAGTGAAAAGTTATGCTCATTTTAGTGAAGCCCTGTCAGGCAGACTTGAT